GCAAAAGACGCCGAGGAGAAGAGAAGAAGAGACGGGGGGAGAAAAGAAAAGGAGAGGAGAAGGGGGGCAGAATGAAAAACATCTACCTCAGAAGATCAACTAGGGGAGGGGAGAGAGCGGAGAGAAGAGAAAAACCTACCCGCTCCAATATCTGGCCTTTAAGAAACTAAAAGACTTGCAAAACCCAAGAACAGCAGTGCTATTTTCTCACCTCCTAGATGGCCAACTTTGCTGCTTACCACTTCTTTATGGCCATGGTATCACAGGGTAAAGGAAGGGGAAAGAGGGAATGAGCAGAAAAAGTCTCAGATCAAGCCAATTTAAAATATATATATATATATATATATATATATATATATTTATATATATTTATATATATATCTAACAGATCACCATCACGTAATTTTCTGGGAAGAAAAAAATTGAATGGCATAGTAGTAAGGAAATGACGCACTCGTGAATGTAAAATGAAAGTAGACAAACGCTCTTGAGGGAACGACAAGCACTAGTTCACCTCGACCCCAGACCCACTCGCCAATCTCGAAGAGAAGTCGCTGGCGCAGAGGACTGTCAAAACTTCGGATTAACAGGACTGAAGGTTCAAAAACTTTCGTCGAGAAACATTCCCGAACAAAATCGCGAAGCTTCTTCCCGTCACCAATTTTGACACCCCTTATGATAAAGAAACATCCTGGTAGGATCCATTGTCCACATTTTTCGCAACACCCCTACGGTCGGTTACTACCCGGCAAAAGTTCTAAAGAATATCTCTGAACCAGGAGCAAGCTTGGATGATTTCTTTTATGAGGTAAGAAGGGAGGACAATTCCGAAACCATCCCGACTGCCCTCGTTAATATCAAGGTGAGGATGTCAGAGGAGGATCCCGGAAAGGGTAAGAAAACACTTAGCCATTCTGATAAGGAGCATCTCTCTGAAAGCGATATGGAAATTTCTCTCAAAAGAGCCGGCCTCAAACGAAGAAGGAAACCTAGTTATTTAAGGCGAAGGCACTCTAGTGGTCACTCAGACTCAGATAGTGACGATATCGACATGGAGGATGTGGGGCTCGCAGACGAAGCAAGAATCAACGCCCTTTTTCAAGAAATCATCATGGATATCACACCCAAATATACCGCGGCAGCGGAAGAAGTCAAACACCTCCACAAGATCTATCAAGCCCCTCCTTGGAGGGGGCACATTGACCTGATCATTAGGGCTAAGATGTTCCATCTAGCCTATACTTAGTATGAAACAGATAAAGATGAGGCCAAGGCCTTTGAAAATGATACTAATCGTGTGGCAAGGCGTTTGTGTGATTCGTTGATTCCTCAAAAGGTCAAGGATTGGCTGCAGAAATCCCAACTCTACACATCAATCAAGGCCCTCCTAAAGATCCTCAAGGCATGGAGCGACCGAGACTAAAAGGAAGCAAGAAGGTACAGAGATTTATCTGCGCACCTTAAGGGGCATATCATCAAGCCCCCCGGTCTTTTCCGGATGGTATTGCATCTTTTATTTACCCTCAGTTAAGGAGCAAATGGATAAAGATTCTTATTGGAAGGGGTTAAAGGGCATCTATCATGGCCACCGGCTTTTTCCGGTTGAATAACCTGTCGAAGTTTTTTCACCAAGGTAAGCATTTCGAAATTCTAACCAATTGAACATTTTTGTGTGTAGCAGGCAACCTACTGACCACCAAGGCAAGAAAAACAAGAACAACTACAATTCCAGGCAGCAATTGAAACAAGATAACTGAAGAAACGACGAAAGAAGGTCATATCATGGCTAGGCATCTGCCTACTATCGAGCAATTGCTTTCACTTCTCAATCACTCTCCATCAATCGGACAAGCATCCTGCGTTATGCAAATGCTTTCTAGACCTGAAGAATGGTTCAACAAGCCTCAATATTTCAAGGCAGCCTCATTATCTGATCATTACGAGCAATGGGAAGATTTGTTGGGAGGATTATACAGAAAGGATTCAAGAAATGTACTTAATTGGATCAAGAACGGAGTCTGCTTGAAGTTTGAAGGAACAAGCCACAATGATCCAACAAATATTTCGGAAGTTTGGAGAATGGTGAAAAATTTAATATCTGCTCAAGAATTCGAAGATGCTTTGGAAAAGAATAAACCGCCAGCAATCCATTTTTCATCCTATGACCTCTCTCAGGACAATCAACAATTCACTGATTCCACCTTAAAAGGTTTACTCACTCAAGGTGTCATCTGCGATACCTTTTCGCCAATCGTTATTAATCCTATCTTTGTGATCGAAAACTCTCTCAAGAAGAGATTTATCATGGATTTAAGATTTGTGAACCTTTTCATCTCTTTTTCAAAATTTCATTATGAGTCAATCTCGGATATTGCTGCAGCTTGCTCCCTCAATCCTGTAACTGACGTTGTCACCACCTACGATGTCAAGAATGGATACTACCACATCAAGGTCAACAAAGAATCCAGGGATTATCTTGCTTTTCAATGGAAGAACAATTTTTTTCATTTCACCACACTCTGCTTTGGAATTCGTCGGCATGCTGGATATTTACCACTGTAATGCAAGAAGTAATGACCTCACTAAGACTAAGATCAATTTGTATCTTCTCTTGCATCGATGACTCTCTAATGATACATCGTACCTTCCTCCAAAACCTATGGTCATCTTTTATCTACACTTGTCTCCTTAAAAAATTGGGTTTTTTCTAAGTCTAAGCAAGTGTTCTTTTCTTCCTTCTCAGTGCGTAAAGTTCCTTGGATTCAATATAGATTCCCACTGCAAACAGACAACAATTCCTGAGGAAAAGACCTTAAGAATTTGCAACACTATTCAGTCTATGCTAACCAGGACCTCAGTCACAAGCAGGGAAATTTCTTCCTTGGCTGGAAAACTAGCTGCACTCTTCAGCGCCTTTCAACCAGCAGTGACTTTCTGCTTTTATCTTCACCAAGCTATCAACCTAAATGCATGGGATGCTACCTTGCCGCTACCAGAAGAAGCCCGCAATGATCTCATCTAGTGGCTGACTAACATACTCAGAATTAAAGGTAGGAGTTGGGCAATCAAACCAATAAAACTAACCATCCAAATGGATGCTTCAGACCACGCCATAGGAGCGGTCATCTATCCCAACCAAGGAAAGAGGGAAAGATTGAGCATTCCTCTCCAAGATGAATGGTTGGAAACCTCAAGTACTCATAGATAACTTTTTGGTGTACTATATACTCTCTCTTTTGTTCAAAAGCGTTTTTCTCTTCCTTCTAATGAGGTTTCGGTCAAGGTCGTCGGTGACAATGCAGGAGTTGTCACTCTACTCAAGAACTGAAAATCTCATGATGAAAGAATGAATTCCCTCCTCAGAAAGATTGCAACTATCCTTTTGGAAACCCAAGGGCAAATAAAACCTATCTGGGTACCTC